TATTATTAACCAGTTAGAAAGACAGAAATAGATATGGTGGAGGAGTTGCACTGTACATTTCAACTAGATTAAATTTTAAAGTTAGAAATGATTTAAATTTTTCTGATATTGAACTTTTATGGGCAGAGATCCAGTCACAAAATCAAAAGTTTTTGATTGGAGTCATCTACAGACCTCCCAACTCTGGGTCTGATTTGTGGGATAAGTTTACAAGTACTGTAGAGAGAGCTCTAGATACAGAGATGAAATTGTTTTTGTTAGGCGATTTCAATGTAAACATGTAAGCTCCTGGGAATAATACATTTAAAAACCTACTACTACATGTTGTCTTAGAGCCTACCAATTTATTGATGTTGGAACTTGCATAGACCTATAGTGTTAACTAATGATCCATCCAAAGTTAAGAGTGTTGTAGTCGATGAACCCATTTGTAGTTCTCATTCACCTGTCTCTATAGAAATCTCATTTCAAACATATAAGCAACATGCCTTCAAACGCACAATTAGAAATTATAATAATGCAAATGATCAAGGCCTAAACAATGACTTACAAAATGTTAATTGGGATGAAAAAGTGTTTACCTCTAAGAATATGAATGAAGTCTATGAAAATTTTACATGCACTTACCTAACCTTAGTAGATAAACATATACCAAAAAAGCAAATTACAATACGTCTATCAGATAAACCATATATTACCACAGAAATTCGTAGGAAAATGAGGCAAAGAAAAAGAATTCATAAAAAGGCAAAGCATACTAAAAATCCATTACACTGGCAAAAATTCAAGTCCGTAACGAAGTAATAGACTTAGTACGGAAAAGTAGGAAGGAGTACAAAATTAAACTTGTCTTGACAAATCTATTCCACCAAGAAAGTGGTGGCGTATAGCAAAATCCGTTGCAAGGTTAAAGAAACAAAGTTCTCCCCCATCCTCTATCAGATCACAAGATGGTAGAATATTGATTCATTCAATTGATAAAGCTGAAGAATTTAATAATTTTTTTCTCTAATATATCACATATTGAAAATGAGCCAGATTTGCCCGAACATGGAGCTGGACCTCCAGACTACTCCTGTGATTTTGAAATAAATGATCAAGATGTTCTTGATCAGTTAAGCATACTTGATCCCTCTAAACCATGTGGACCAGATGGAATTTCTCCCAGAATATTAAAGGAAACCCGTTATTCCATATTTAAACCTCTATGTAGATTATTTAACCTTTCACTTACAAATAAAGTTCTTCCATGCATATGGAAACAAGCACATATTTCACCTATTTTTAAAAATAAAGGCTGTCCCCAACAACCTAATAATTACAGACCAATATCATTGACTTGTTCTATATGTAAACTAATGGAAAAAATACTTTTTAAATATATGTTTAATCATATTAAGGAACATGACTTATTTTGTAAATACCAATCTGGGTTCCAACCTGGGGATTCTACTGTTAACCAATTAGTTGAAATATATGATAAAATTATGTCAAACCTTGACAGAGGCAGAGATGTACGAGGGTTGTCCAAAATTTCGTAGACTGAGCTCATATCGTTTTAAGAAAAAGAAAATCTTTATAAAATTTTCAGGGTGGATAAAGCATGTTCTTGGCAGATAAATTACGAAGTTTTATCATGTTGACTTGAAAACTTTCCGAGTAATAACATGTGAAGTGATATAGTTCTCTGACACCCGGAGCAATCTCCAACGTCAAAAAGTACAATTGTCAACGGTTCAAATTTTTGGAGAAAATATTTTAGTTACTAGAATCAAATTATTAAATTAAACGAAACGGTTATGGTTATAAATGTAAAATATCTTAATTACTATGATATGATCAAACATTAAAATATGTAAACAAAGTATATGCATGTACAGGTATGAAATAATAATAATTTGAAAACTCTATATTTCTACGGGCTTTTCGTCTGTTTTCCCTAATGGATTTGCACAATGGAACTCTTGCCCATTTTTCTGCACTGTCTTTTATTTCAGTTACTGTTATTCACATATACATAGAGAAACCGTTTTAGTCATTGTAAATACTAAGGACGAGAAAAAAGTTTCCTAGTCAACCAAACATTTATGACTAGTACATTTCTGTAAGAGTGAATTCACGATTAAAACACTTAATCCTAGTCCAGAGAACCGCCTTGACCAACGCAGCCGCCATTTTTCAAAAATTCGGATTTCAACCTCATGTATATAAAACGTTATAAAATTCATATTTATCAAAGCATTAACACCACAATTTGAGGAAATATAGTTAATAAAGCAACATTAAGAATTTTCATTTCCATTAAAAAATATGAGGTAGTAATTACTTTTCCTTAGGATTTTAAATATGATATACCAAATTTTAATGGCAACTTTTGGGTATTGCGCCGCTTTCCTACACCAGACAATGAAATATGTCTTTTAAATGGGAATGATTTGTGTAGTTACTCCATATTTGTCGATAAATCCATTAGATAGTGTTTGTTTAATCTATATACGAAGTTTCATTAATGTATGACATAAGGTTCCTAAAAAACAACGCTTTTCTACGGAATTTTGGGACAACCCTCGTACGCTTTATATTTTGTGACATTTACAAAGCTTTTGACAAGGTATGGCATAAGGGAATGATTTTCAAACTTAAAAACTTTGGATTTAGAAGTAATATACTGGGTTGGATTGAAGACTATCTTACTGAAAGACAACAAAGAGTGAATTTAGAAGGCTTTTCATCATCATGTAAAACAATAGATGCTGGGGGTACCCCAGGGGTCTGTACTGGGTCCCTTCTTGTTTTTGTTATATATAAATGATATAGCTAAAGATATATCTTGTAATATTCAACTGTTTGCTGATGATACTTCTTTGTTTGCTATTATAGACAATGATATCAATGCTCCAACAATGTTCCTTACTCAAGATCTTGAAAAGATAAAAAACTGGTCCAAAGCTTGGGCTGTAGATTTTAATAGTGAAAAAACTGTTAATGGTGATTTTACAAGAAAACACATAAGTTATCCTAATATTCAGTTTGGATATGGAGGTGATTATATAAAACAATCAAATACTCATGTTCATTTAGGATTACAATTTCAAGCAGATGGTTCTTGGAACAATCACATATTGAATATATATGAAAAGGCATGTAAAAGATTAAATATAATTAAGTTACTGAAACATAGTATTGATAGAAATTCACTAATAAAAATTTATTTTGCCTTTATAAGACCAATTTTAGAATATGCTGATGTTGTATGGGATAATTGTACACAAAGTAGTTCAGAATTGCTTGAAAAAGTTCAGATAGAAGCTGCCAGAATTATTACTGGGCTTAGAGTTAATTCATCCAGAACTTGTTTGTATGGTGAACTAGGATGGGAACCATTATATCTTAGAAGAGAAAAACACAAACTTCAATTGATGTATAAAATGATTAATGGTTCTGCACCTGATTATTTGTATGATTTGATTCAACCTTGTTTTCCTGTTCAACATGCTTACAACCTAAGGTCTGGATGTAATAAATTATGTATACCAGTTTGTAAAACAATCTCATACTATAATAGTTTTATTCCCTCAACCGTAAAACTTTGGAACAGTCTTAGTGAAGATGTAAAAAAAACTCTCCTTCATTAGCTATCTTTAAAGCAAAACTTAAGAATTGGGGAGCAACTAATAAACCTTGTAGGTACTTTAACTTTGGTAATAGAAAAGAAAATATCTTGCATTGTCAGTTGCGAAACAATGCTAGTAATCTTAATGCACATTTAAAAAATCATTTTTATCAGATATACAATCATGTCAAAAGTGTGGATTTCATACTGAAGATACTGAACATTATTTCATCAACTGCCCATCGTATAATGTTGAAAGACACATATTGGTAAAAAAATTAAATGATATTGATGTTGTTTTTGAACTCGACGCTCTACTAAGAAGAAAATGTCAATACTCTTATCAAACAAATTGTAAAATATTTTCATATGTACAAGAATTTATTAAATCTTCTAAGAGACTAAATTAGGGACACTATTATATTAAATACTCTATTAAATGCATAATTTTTTCCCCAAATATTTGTATTATTTTTAAGCTGGAACAGTATGTAAATAATATGCATACAGTTAGGGGGTTGTCATTTTTTTTAGATATAATATTGATAAATAATACTTGATTGTGAATCTTTATTTTTCATTATAATTTTATTGATTATCATGTTTATGTATTATTTCCTATTAATTTGTATCTTGACCAATTATACAAGGAGAGGGTACACGTGTACATAAGCATTGCCTGTTGCCCAATCCTGATTGAATTATACTCAATAAATATGTTTAAAGTTAAAGTAATAGGGAATCAAAGTTTTAAATAGAAATATATAGGAAAAAATCTTTTAAAATCTTCTTCTCAAGAACCACTGGGTCAAAAAAGCTGAAACTTAATTTGGAAAAAAAATTTATGATAAACTGACAATAGCTGTGACCAAACAAGGAGAGGACTGTCACAGAGAAATTAACATCATTGCCGCGAAACGGAAATTTAAAATTGATGAGATGAAAAATAAACACTTGGCCGCTCTAAATCAACAGAAAAGTGAAATCAAAAAGATTACTTCTGAAAGTAAAAAAGAGCCTAATTGATCTGAAGAAAATACTAGTATTAGACCCCGACGATGTCTCCATTGTAGCTACATATAAATCCAAGAATTCTGAATTCAGAAGTTTGACTCCTAATGTCGGAGTTTCATTACCATGTTTCTCTCCTCAACAGATCAACACAGAACAATTCTATCAAATGTTTGGTTCTCTGTCATCATTATCCATTACAACGGAAGAACATGGCTACACAATGAAGACACCAGAAGCTGTATCCTGTCCTCCAGTCAAACCACTGATTGATACACCAGAGCTCATCACTTGAATAGACACTGTGTTTGAACAACAAGATAATAATACATGTCTTAGTGATGACGAAATCTGGACACGTGGGTCAGACCAAATCATGACACTCTACAACCTCCACGACAAACTACTGAAGTCAATCCAAACCAAGTCTGGGTACATACCACGTGATATAGCAGTGACAAGGAGTGGAAAGTTTATACTGAGTCTGGTACAAGAACTGTAAACATAGTGAAAAATAAACAGATACAGGAAGTGATTAAACCACGGGGGTGGATACCTTACTTTCTCTGTAGTACCTCCTCTGGTGACCTCCTGGTGTCCATGGACAGTGATGATTTGGAACAATCAAAAGTTGCCCGTTACTCTGGCTCCTCAGAGAAACAAACCATTCAGTTTGATAGTGAAGGTAATCCTCTGTATTCATCTGGTAACCTTAAATACATCAGTGAGAACAGGAACCTGGATATCTGTGTGGCTGACTTTGGAGTCAAAGCAGTAGTGGTGGTTAATCAGTCAGGAGAATTCCGATGTAGATACACTGGTCATCCCTCTACTATTGGAGCATCATTTAGTCCAGTCGGCATCATAACAGACAGCCAGAGCAAGACCCTGACAGCAGACGTATTAAACGCTGCATCCACATCCTAGGTCAGGATGGACAGTTCCTCCATTACATTGATAACTGTGATTTAGACAGTTCATGGGGTTTATGTGTAGACATCAGAGACAACCTCTTTGTGACAGAGTATAACAGTAGTAAAGTTTAAAAAAATCAAATACATGTACATGTAATCAATGTTTTTTAAAAATAGACTTGTTTGTGAAAGTTTTTCAATGTCACAAATCACAAGAATTTATTGTTTGATTCAGGTTCTTTCTGGTACTGAGGTGTGTGTAAGTGTGTGAGGGTGTGTGTGTGTGAGGGTGTGTGTGTGTGTGTGTGAGGGTGTGAGGGAGGGTGTGTGTGTGAGAGAGAGAAAGGGAGAGTGTGTGTGTGTGAGAGAGTGAGGGTATGTGTGTGTGTGTGTGTGTGTGAAAATATTGAAAATAATATTGATAATGTAATATATGAATAAAAGTTTATTTATAAATAGTTGCTCGTATTATTATTCTATTGATTGTTGGAATGACTGCTCAATAAAAAAAAACATAACATGGGAAAGCATCTTCAATATCTCAAAAGGAATACGATGTGTATGTCCGAGTATGAAACAAGAAATAAGGGGAGATGTACGGCCACCTTTAGAGCTAAAAGAAAAAAAATGATAATACTTCTTGAAATGGCTAAAATATATTACATTTTGATCAAATGTCAAGTCCTTATGATAAAGATACAATAAATATGCATAATCAGATGCATGTTTTGTATAATTTATATAATCTATATTTTTGAAGAAAAATTCCTTTGAAAAGCTCCTAAGAACTGCGCAGCTACAGAATTCAGCAAAGCCTTAAAACATAAAAAAAACTATGCAAATGTGCAATAATGTTCCCTCTACAACAATTTGTTGAAAAAGCGAGTAAATTTTGAACTTTTAAATGGTTATTTCAAGTTCAAAACAAGGTACTATAGTCTGCAAAATGAGTTTAAAGAACCATGAAAGTAGTTAATGGATAGCAGCACGTGGTCTATTCTTAACATGGATTTTTTTCCAGACCTCTTCTTAAAATGGATGTACATAATAATGTTAAAATGTAGAAGATAATTACAGTTGGAAAATGTTTCAAATAATATTAACACTTTTAAAAGAGGAATTGTGTAATATTGTGAAGTATTAGTATTATTATCAAACAGCTGTTAAATAGTGTACTGTAAATTCTCAACTCTTTGATTCCAGTCAAGGAAAAATGAGTGCACAAAGTTAAAAATTAAGAATTTGTAAGTCTGACACGGATAACTTATTTTATCTACCAAAATTTTGATTATCACCAATGAAAAACAAAGAAAATTAAACACATAAAATCGTTATGAATTACCTTGTTTTAGTACTTACTAGTTTACTGTATGAAATAAACATTTACAATTAACATCACGCCGGAGCACCATTTCACAAGGAATAAAAATCATAAAGAAAATACATATCGTGTAATGGGATGTAAATTTATGAGTCGAGCCATTTCTAGTCAGTAGGTCGAGAGAGGGGGACCATATTTAGTGATACTAAATTTCTGAAAAGTTGGCACTATTCTTAAAAAAAAAAAAAAAAAAAAAAAAACTATAGGATTTTGGATTTTAGGGGTGGGGGTGGTGGGTTAGTCTCCCAAAGATAGACATTGCATAGGCAATAGACATTTCTTTTCAAACTTTTGTGCCCTCTTTTATATTTCAAACAAACAACTGAATATATTTTATCAAACTTCGTATGTTGGTGAGAGCTTACAAATTTGTCAAAATAATTATTGAGACATGATCAGGGCCGTAACTAGGGGTAAAAGATAGAGGAGGCGGGGCTTTGGGGGCCGCCGATTGAGGCCCCTAAAGATCGGGGGGTGCGAAGCGCCCCCTGCAAAAAAATTGCTTCAAACGGCTCAATTTGGACCATTTCCTTGATTTTTATTTTTGAGAATGCTTACCACTTTATTATATTACCTATTTATGTACTATTTAGATAGATATGATTAAATAAATTTCAATCGTTATTCCCATTTTCAATATTGTCTGAAGGCTTAACGGTGATCGTCTAGCTTTGATATTTCACTTATATGGCGTGTTGTAAGAAGGAACTGAATGGGACAGTCCCTCGGATGAGACGGAAAAAAACCGAGGTCCTGTGTCACAGCAGGTGTGTCACGATCAAGATCCCTTCCTGCTCAAAGGCCCTGAGCGCCGAGCATAGGTCTAAATTTTGCAGGCCTTTACCGGCAATGGAGACGTCTCCATTATGGCATATAAGTGAAAAATTCTTGAGCGGGACGTAAAACAATCAATAACCAACCAACTAACGTTAACTCACAATACTCATCTGATGCTTCAATTGAATTTTAACTTCTGAATGTAAATATAAACAATGATAAATACGAAACTGACTTTTCCCAAGAAAAAGATAAAATTATTTAAGTCAATAGGGGTATCTGGGAAGATCGTACCCGTCGATTCATTCTGAATAGTTTTCACTGTACTAAATGCAGTTCTAAAATGATCGATCGCCGTTGTTCGAATTTCGCTATGGGACATGGGGACTGGTCCTTCGGATGAGACCGCATAAAGTTTAAAACCGAAGCCCCGTGTCACAGCTGTGGCACGATAAAGATCCCTCTCTGCTCAAAGGCCCTGAACGCCGAGCATAGGTAATGGTGACACTCACTGGATAGCTGAAAAATTGCTCAGGTGGCTATAATCAAACAAATAAATGATCAATCTTGATCCAGCTGCTTGTGTTGTGTTTCTTATTTCCAAAAAAAAAAAAAAAAAAATGAAAATCTAGAGGAGGCAATTGCCTCCGTTGCCTCAATGGTAGTTACGGCCCTGATGATGTGTTTCTATGTCCAAATCATTACTCCATACAATGCGTGGATCATCACACGCAAACATTCTCTAATTTCTGTGAGGTGCCTGAAAGAAATCCAATAACTTATTTTTCTATCTAACTACTGAACAAAATTTTCATATGTACAAACTTCTGTCTGTGAGCTTGGAATAGAAGATACCATAGAGAGACTGACACATCTGTAAATCCGTTTTATTGATAGATTATTTTTCAAGATAACGAAAGTAACTGAATTTTAAACATTATGTATGAATTAAATAAACACTATATTAGCCTTTATTTCCCAATATACTTACGTATGTACGTTAACAAGAATGAGTTCTTTCCATTACTACTTTCCCTTGTTTTTTCTTAAGGGTGGTGGGGGTTGGTGGCTAAATATAGCAAATAGTTTATTTTTGAAAATGAAACACCTAGGTTTTACATTTTAAAATGATCGTCTTTAGACTGACATGTATTAAACCAATTGTATGGCTTTCGTTTTTGTACTGAAATCGAAAACGACATGTCCCGTCAATGTATTTGGCTTTCTGCGAGTGATACCACCTCTGAATTTTCTATGCAGGGGTCTGTGATATATGAATCATTTGTTGTACGACTTGGTTATTACGTTTTGTATCTTCATAACAAAAGAGTTCCAATTAATATGGCGTCTTAGTACCATGCGTATACAACAGGGTCCATGTTTATGCTTTGTTCACAAATCTGTGTCCTAATTAAGGACCAACGGAAGACCTTCTACTGATTCTGTTGGTAAAGATTATTAAGGTCTTCCGACTTCCTTCGGAAGACCTTACTGTTTTTCTTATGTTTCCTATTATTATTATTTTTCCCTTTTCATAGTACACGTGATTTCTCGGAAACTACTTGACCGATTTCAAAGATTTTTTCAGGAATGATGCATTGTTATAATATCTCCAGACCGTATTTTTTTAAATTTTGAAAAATCACTTCCGGTCACATTTTTTGTCCAATTTTCTTTTTTTAATTTGCCATTTTGTCCAAGCAACTCCTTCTTAACCACCAAAGATTTAATCACGATATTTTCGTGGATGATAAAACATCTCTTTCAGTTATGCATGGCATCTTTTGATTTTGCATCCGTCACTTCCGGTCGACACAGGAAGTGACATTAATTTTCGAGATTTTTTGAAAAATTTAACCGTTTTGAATAATGGCAAGTAAAACCTATGTTCACATTAACAATCGTCAACAAAACGCATCCATTTGAATAACTTCCGGTGAAAACTTTCTCTCCTGCGTCAAAAGAAATAGAATAAATGGTTTTAAGTGAGTTTTTTTCAAAGTTTTTATTGTACTTGTGACTTTGACGTCAGCCGGAAATGATGCCTTAATTGTCTAAATTTGTCAAATGATGTCACTTCCGGTGAAACCGGAAAGTAGCCAAAATAGCTTATTTTGAAGGTTTTGACGCAAAAATGAAAACTTTTGAATTTTAGAGACACTGAAGGCATCTTAACTCATTCCTTTCTCTTGTTGACGTCACTTCCGGTCAAAACTCGACGGAAGACCTACTCGTTGCTTTACAACGAGCTTTTCTCTAGTTATTCTTTTTTTTTCTTCTACTTCCTAGACGCCAACTTTGAAGTCTCATATCTCACTCATTTCTCAATGGATTTCGCACAAATTTTCAGAGGTTATAGACGTTAATAAACTCTATCAGAATGCTGTCTAAAATTTCGAAAAGCCACTCCCGGTTTTGAGTTATTACCCTTTAAAGGAAAATTTATATGCTTTCGTTTCCAGACAAAGGCTCAGAGACGGCTAAAGCTGGAGCAGAAATTCTACTGATTTTAGATAAAAGAAGGATTGAAGTTGTGCACATTGGTTTTTGTTTTTCGATTTCTCTATTCAAAATGGCGCTATATCGGGGTCAAAATTAGAACGCTTAAAAGAACCAAAAATTACTCATATTTTTCTTTTTTATCTTAACTAAACTAAAAATATTTTGTTAAAATATATAGAACATAATTTGTGCAGAATTAGAAGATCTTTCAAATGATATGTCTAAAAAAGGGCTGACCCCTACATTAAGGGATCTAGAGGGGCGAAAAGTTTTTTTCCAGATATCTAAAAATTATTGAGAATTTGTTATACATTAAATAAGCAAAGTTGTTCAAAATATCAAGCTTTATCTAATGGGGTTGTCAAAATAGTCCGTCGACGTCACTTCCGACCGAACCGGAAGTAGTCAGAAAATGCATAATTTTTGCCGTTTTGGACAGGTTTTTGGGTAACATGTGTCACTAGAAGCTTAAATATTAATTTTCCGTCCGTCGTCGTTACTTTCGGTCAAACCGGAAGTACCAAGAATGGCTTAATTTTGCAATAATTAACATAGATTTGGAGGATTAACCCATTTTTGGACTTCATTACTCATTTTTTTTTTCAATGAAAGTTACTTCCAGTCAAACAGGACGGAATACCTACTCGTTGCTTTGCAACGAGCTCGGCTCTAGTTTTATTTTAAAGATCGATTGCTGTTCGTTACCTTTGATTTATCTTGATTATAATACAATTTTTTTGAAGCCAAAAACATGTTTCAATTATCAGTTTAGATCTTTCTAAAGTATGCCAATTCATTTGGTATTGAATCTTAACAGGTGACTTAGATTGAATTAATGCAACTTTAGATTAGAATAACTAGAAATAAGTAATAAAAGTATTTCATGATGTTTTATTCAGGTGTTGACAATACCAATATATTAAAAATTGTCAAATGTCGGGGGGGGGGTTGTAATGTTCCTGTGGTTTTGAAAAGACACACTTCCTCATCATAACTATACATTAAATTTGTTTGTTTAGTACTCAGGAGCAGAGAAAAAGATTATTTTCACTTTATAATCTATATAGCCCTGTCCTAGCTATAGACTTCACACCCTGTGGCATGAATTTCAGAATTTTGGTAGAAGATCAATGCTTATTACATTCAAACTAACAGTTCAAAAATTGATTGCTTGATGTCAAGGAGTAAAGGTGAATATTTTAAAGGGTTGCATTAATTTTAATGGTTTTTACCCCACCCCATCAGGCCCCAGGGTGGGGGGGGGGGGGGTAGGGCTATGACATTCACAATTGCTGTTCCTCTTCACCCATAGATTCTATATGCCAAAATTGGTTGAATTTGGATTGAGCAGTTTCAGAAAAAAGCTGAAATTGTTCAAATGTTAACGCTGGACGAATGACAACCGACAACATAAAGTATATCAATAGATATATAAAAGGAGAACCTCAAAGTCCATAACTATAATTAGAATGGGGTGGGATGTCAGGGACAGTTTATTTACTTCCTGTCCAGTCGAATTATTTGGAACATTTTTTGATATCTGTCAGCCCTCCACCTCTCCCTCACAAAGAATCAAATGGTCGTCCCCTAAAGCTAAGTTTTATATTCAATAAAAGGCTAGTATCCTCCACGAGATTTATCTTTAATCTTATTATAACTTTATCTTTATATTGACAGATAAAGATATGTCGGGTATTGAATGCACATGCCGTGGTAACAGGTAAAACAAGGATAAAGCGTAAAAAGAAAATTTAGGATTATGAGGGAGGACATTTTGGATCTTAAGGTGAGACAAGATAATATTTATGATTTAACACACATTACCAAAGCATTATCCATGTGTAAACTAGTAGATCAAAAAATTATTAGAATACATTAATTGATGCCCAAAAGAGGCGCTCTAGGTCAAACTAATATATAATATTATGAGGTGTAAAGTCATTTTTCTTTCTTGATAAAAAAAACTACAAACACAAAGACAATTAATTAACTTAACTTTTCTGTCATTTCCATACGGTTTTGTCCTAATTTCACAGACAAACTAGATTTCCCCATTGTTTTTGCTAGATTTAACATGTTTAAGTATAATTTCTGGTGTCAGTGATCCACGTCTTTACTTAAATGTTTTTACCTTAGTGATGGACCCTTTGGACAGAGCTCAAATACTTCTCCTCTGTGACATGTGCCAAACAGCTGCATTACAGAGTCATTGTGAACTTTGTCAGGTTAACCTGTGTAAGGCCTGTGTAGGGGAACATCTCTCTGATTCATCCATAAGACACAAAGTTGTACCATACAAAAAAAGAAGTTGTACTCCTAACGTGAACTACCCAAAATGCCCAAACCACACCCAGAAACATTGTGAACTTTATTGTGAGAATTGTGACATTCCTGTTTGTTCTACCTGTCTCTCCTCTGATAAACATCATGGACATAAATTACTGTATAGGGGGAAAATAACTCGCGGTGTTAATATTCGCTATATTCACGGTGTTGATTAATCCGTGAATTCAAGAAACAGTGAATAAGCTTTTCAAAATGTATAGATAAGGGAGGAAACTTTTCTTACATACCAATTCCGCGAATTCAAGAAACCGCGACGGGGTCAGAGAAGAGAAAAACGTGAAAATTACAACCCGTGAAATTAATCCCCTATACAGTAACAGATATCTTACAGAAAGTTTCGTTAACGATCACCAAACGAGGAGAAGACTGGCACCGAGAAATTGACAATATTGTCAATAAAAAGAAATCAGAAATTAATGAAATGAAAACTAAACACCTGGCTGTTCTAAACCGACGGGAAATTGAAATACAACAGATTACATCTGAAGTTGAACAGAGCATACGTTATCTGAAGAAACTAGAAGTATTAGACCCCCATGATGTGTCCATAGCATCTACATACAAATCCAGGAATGTTGAATTCAGAAGTTTACCTCTTAAAGTCAAAGTTTCGTTACTAAGTTTCTCTCCTCATCAGATCAACAGAGAACAGCTTCATCAAATGTTTGGTTCTCTGTCAGCATTATCTATAACAACAGAAGAACATGGCTACATACTGAAGACACCAGAAGCTGTATCCTGTCCTCCAGTCAGACCACTGCTTAATGAACCAGAGCTCATCAACACCATATCCACTGCGTATAGACTATACAGTATTTTTTGTCTAAGTGATGAAGAAATCTGGATATGTGGAGATGATAAAATCATGAAACTCTACAGTCTCCAGGGAAACCGACTGAAATCATTCCAAACCAAGTCTGGGAACATACCACTTGACATAGCAGTGACAAGGAGTGGAGATCTAGTTTATACTGACCCTGGTATGAGAACTGTAAACATAGTGAAGAATAAACAGATACAGGAAGTGATCAGATTACAGGGGTGGACACCTCGTTATGTCTGTAGTATCTCTTCTGGTGACCTCCTGGTTACCATGGTCAATGATGTTGAAGAACAATCAAAAGTTGTTCGTTACTCTGGCTCCACAGAGAAACAAGCCATTCAGTTTGATAGTGAAGGTAAACCTCTGTACTCATCCGGTAACTTTAACACGATTGAATACATCAGTGAGAACAAGAACTTGGATATCTGTGTAGCTGACAATGGAGCCGGTGTAGTAGTTGTGGTTAATCAGGCAGGAAAACTCCGATTCAGATACGCAGGCCATTCTTCTACTACAAAGAGATATTCGTTTGAACCAGTCGGCATCACAACAGACAGTCAATTTCACATCCTGACATCAGACTATTACAACCACTGTATACACACTTTAGATCAGGACGGACACTTCCTCTGTTACATCGATAACTGTCATTGACAACTAAAGTATCCATGGGGTTTATGTATAGACACTAGAGACAATCTATTTGTGATCGAGTTTAGTGGTAGATATAAGAAAATTAAATACAAGTAAACGATGTATTGTAAACCAATAACAACACGTTTGTGATTGGAATTTATCCCGTTACCAATCTCACAAGATATTGTATGATTAAACTTTACATATTGTTTTTTTGCCAATGATTATAAAGTGAATAAATAAAAAAAATATATATATATATAACAATTATAGGTAATATCAGAAGAAACTTTGAATATCTGTTTATCTCACTGTGAATATTATGAATAACTAGTGCTAATTGTAACGGGGACCGTTACAGATGTTCCCCAAACGCTCCCCAACTCCCTTTTGGTGCCATATTCCCTGTAAGCTTCATTAAATAAGACAACCTCTATGCATCTGAGATTTTAACAACATAAACAAAGAAGTGTACAAAAATCATTTAAACTTTAGCATTGCACGCGTGCACATGGGAATGCATTTGTGTCATGACCATATCGTCTTGTCTACACAATCTATATTTTTAACATACTGAATATTAAAGTATTTAATCCAAAATTATAAAAAAAAAATACCCTCATTCAAGTGTATGTTTGATTTAACTCATTTCACGTGCACGCACGTGCATACATGAGCGTGGTGACCATACCTTCTTGTAGAAGTCCATTACATCTATCTATGTTCTAAATTCCACCCCGTTTGGGTGAAAACTAAGGGAGTTATAGCTGTTTAAAGTTTCAGCCAATCAGATTGCAGCACATGTGCACGCACGTGTATGCATGTGCATGGTGACCATACCTACTTGTAGAAGTCCATTATATCTATCTATGTTCCAAATCCCATCCTGTTTGGTTGAAAACCAAGGGAGTTATAGCTGTTTAAAGTTTCAGCCAATCAGATTGCAGCGCACGTGCATGCACGTGTTATCATGATAATTGCTTTATTTCATGTTGTAGGATATCCTAATGCATGGCTATGTTCAAAATTTCAAAGGATTTCGTCAAAAAACAAGAAAGAAATTGAGACTTTAGTTGCAGCCAATCAGAGTGTAGTGCACGTGCATGCGCGTGAGATCTTGCTATTTTCACCATGTCGTCATGTCTATACTACTAATATATCCTCACATTATGAGTTTCAAAGCATTTCATTTAAAAATAGAACAGTTGTGGCTATATCTAGTATATTGGTCATTTCACGTGTTGCACGTGCACGCTCTTGCAAGCACGTGCGCGCAAAATGACCTTGATTCCGCAAATCTACATAACATGTCTACTAACCCTAAAAAGGTTTTACCTACATCGGACGAACTGTTTACAAGATCATTCCCGGACAAAAAAGTTCCAGGAAGAAGAAGAAGAAAAAAAAAATAACTAGTTCTAATTGTAACGGGGACCGTTACAGATGTTCCCCAAATGCTCCCCAACTCCCTTTTTGTGCAAATTTCCTTTAAAACTGTTTTCAATATGCTTAGTATCGCAGGATTTCATAAAAGAATTTTAAAAGCTACAATAATATCACTTTTTTGTCATTTAACGCATTGTTCGCAAACGCACGTGCATGCACATGCAAGGTGATCAGGACATGTTGTCTAAACCATTAACATTTCTTTATATTCCAGAAATCATTAAAAAGTCATAAAAATATAAATTTTACCGTTTTTCAAATATATTGTTCATTTTACGCATTGCGTGTGCGCATGTGCATGCAAGCACGACCTTGCATTCAATTTTGATAGCAATATCATGTAGGAATCCATAATACCTATTCATATTCTAAACTTCATCCTGTTTTGTTGAGAAACAAGAAAGATATAGACATGTAAAGTTTTAGCCAATTAGATTGCAGCACACGTGGATTTATGTGCTTTCATGATAATTCTTATATATCATGCGGTAGATCTTCATAATATGTGACTAAGTTCAAAATTTCACAGGATTATGACGTAAAACAAGAAAGATATTGAGACTTTAGTTTCAGCCATATGTAGTAGTAATGAATATGAAATTTTATATTTCATGGTGGTCATGAATTAATGAGTCTCCCCATACCTCGATAATACTGAAAATTAAACTCCTAAGAAAATTAACAATTTCACGGTATATAATAACACAAAATTAACTTGAGAAATCTGAATAACATCAAAATCATTCCTTGACGTAAAGTGATTATTTGAATGCCTTTTTTAAAAGTAATATTTATCAACAACATCAATCTCTTAATTCAATAAAGAAGGATATGGCGATAACGAACAGTATTCAATATCAAAGTCCATAAAACAAAACAAAATGAGAGCAGAGCAAACACAAACACGGACCTCCGAAACACCACAAACAAAATATTGCTTTGATTTTCACTCTAAACTCTCTGGTAAAATACCGGTATACACAGAACTTGTTAAAGGGGTGGAGTAAAACAAGATATAAATTAGAGGTACTGTAAACACTAAGCTCACAAAGTGATACCCCCACCTCCCATATGCCCATATGAGTATAATGGTAGTGCCCACGTTTTGTTTTTGGGAACACAAAATGCGTCAGATCAAAAAGTAAAGTAGAAGATGCATAATGGCACTATGTAACGAAGAATCTGATAAAGTCTCATTAAATGTCATTCAGGAGTATAAGAGGAGATAGTTGTTGATAGAAAAGGGGTACTGCAATGCGTAACAGACAGATAGACAGATATCCTGATCACTATTTTCATGCGGAAATAAAATAATATATGATATTGCTGCATTTCTCTTTTGGTACGACGATTTTCCCCCATCGTAAAACAATGTTAAGCTAGCCCCTTGGGCTCAGTAAATCTTTACTGTTTTAGATTCTGAATCATCGTTGACTTTACGAGTAAAATAGCAAGAATTGTAAAATATAATGAAATCAAGATATAACCAATTTAATCCCAGTTTGGCTAATAGGTCTAATAAGTCTCTTTATCTATCTTTGTTTTCCCCGTAAAAAGTCAAATTTAATCCACAAAGGGTCATTATTCTATAAGGTAATTTTTCTTCACGTGGGGTAGGCAAATTTTTAGGGTGATGACACTTTTTCAACGGGCAAAATGTTCCTTTTTTGAAGTCGAATAAGGGGTCATTTCTTGCTGTAGAACAATGACTCCTGGCCATTATTCTATTGGTGTCATTGCTAGTCTTTACACTGGCCGCTTCCGGCAATATACAATATGATAAAATTATTTTTCAACTGAGCTCTGATTATAATACGATGCAAGATAAGCTGTAAAGAAACAAAAGAATATAATCCTACTTTTTCATAGAAAAAAATGATCAGCAGTTTTAGGGGATGTCTTAAAGATATGTTCATTTATATTCTTATGACATTGGAGAAATGTTTTATAATTTCCTGCTAGAAATCTATTTTTGTAAATAGAGAAATGATCTTCTGATTTGTCAGACATATTTTTCACAGGAAAATTAGTTATTTAAACTTTTACACTTCTTTGAACATATTTCAATAATTGAACAGACTTTCTAAACACCCTTTATTTAAACTTCTCAGACCGTCAGATAAAAATATCTTAGGTATTTAAATCATGCACAACCTTGTAACAGGTAAAAATCTGGAATAAAGACCAGGAAGTAAATTGTAGAATATGTCAGATTTCAAGGAGGCCATATTTGATCTCAAGGTGAGACAACACAACATTTAACTTTAACATCTGTCATTATCAATCTCAAGTGTAGTAAAATACAATTAATTTATATCTAAAATACATCAGAGAGCTGAACTTGATTTTACCTATTATACAAATAACTATAATGTGCAATGTTTTTTTTCTAAATAACATTCTCAAACATTAAGAATTTTAGAAAGCATTTTAAATTTATTTTTCCTGTCATTTATAAAGTGACTGTAATCTTCTTAGCAAACATAACCTCTTATTGGGTCTTTTGTTTAGCTGACGTGATTCATACAAATTGTTTGGCCTTTGTTTTCATATTAAATTTGACTTAGTTCAGTAACCTGATCAATGCATAGGGCACCAGTGCTTACTCCTAGTAACCAAAAAACTTGAAGTTCTAGGAGGTTAGTGTTAATGCCTTCTTTATTCATGTTATTGTTTTGTACTGATTATAGATTTTTTTAAATCGATCAATTTTCTTATTCTCTTTTTATCTTACAATTTCAACTACAAAATAAAATTCTTGAATGCATTGTTCTTGTTTGAAATTCAATACTATAGTCAGTGATCTAAATTTCCATTTATTTTAATATAGAGTTATCTAATCGTTTGACCAAAAAAAAAGAAACAGTAATGGATCACCTGGACAGAGCTCAAGTACTCCTCCTCTGTGACCTGTGTCAAAGAGATGCATTACAGAGTCATTGTGAACTTTGCCAGATTAACCTGTGTAAGGCCTGTGTAGGGGATCATCTCTCTGATTCATCTATAAAACATAAAGTTGTACCATACAAACAAAGAAATTCTACTCTTAGCTTTCCAATATGTCGAAATCATACCCAGAAACATTGTGAACTTTACTGTGAAAAATGTGAAATTCCTGTTTGTTCGATCTGCATCTTCTCTGATAAACATCATAAGCATAAAATAATTGATATTTTGCAAAAATCCAGCTTCATTAAAGAAACTCTAAACAAGGATTCGATAGAACTAGAAAGAAGAATACTTCCTACTTATGAGGAAATCGCAGCAGAATTAAACTTTGAAAAAGTAAACTTAGAAAAACATTATGAGAAACTGACAACAGCTGTCACGAACCAAGGAGAGGACTGGCACAGAGAAATTGACATCATAGTCAACAAAAAGAAATCTGAAATTGATGAGATGAAATCTAAACACCTAGCTGTTCTGAATAAAAAGGGTCAAGAAATTGAACAGATATTATTTGATGTAAAACACAGTCTGTTTGATCTCAAGAAAATATTAAATTCAAATGAAAGTTTCCTATCCACTGCTTACAAATCTAGGAATGCTGAATTCAGAAGTTTACCTCCTAA